AGCCCTGCAGTTTATTGAGGAAATTTCTTTCCCGTGTACTTGCGCTTGAGATACAAGAGAAGCAATAACAATCGATTGATCACCTCCTGTTCAGGTTGTTGCACTTTCTTGTCTCCCTTCGTATTCGTTACTTTCTTTCCTTTACCAACGCTCTTGTTGATAGTTTCCGTGGAGCCAACTGCGTGTCAAAACACATTCATCAACGTATTACATTTTCGCACTGGAACTTAATTCGTTTATTCCTCAGTTACAGCGGTTTTTAATTGAGTGTCGAAAGTGATCAGACAATTACTTTGGTTTTGGCTTTACTACGGTTTGAGATTGGCTGAGTAGTCTAATTGGTAAGTAATTGGTTTGATTCACTAAGTTGAAAACCACTCTAAACGAGGTGACGAAAACATAAACAAACAATTTGTGTGTGGCGCGGCATGAGTGGAGGTAGGCGGGACTGAAGATCTCGGAAGCCTCCTTCTGTCGCCGCGCGAGGATTCGCGCCTCTCGTGCGCTTGAATTAGGACCGCACAACACAACATGCTCAAGTGGGAAAGAGTGTTTATTGCCGTTTCAAATATGAGGGCCGTCTTTGGGTAACCATTTGAAGGAAGAGTGGAGACTTAAATACTTTGAGAAATTCCAAGCTATGGCCTTTCCCTTTGAGCTATGCCCTATTATAAACTTTTAATAGAAATGTCAAATCCTTCTGAACAAGGACAGACGGTTGTTTCACGAATTAAACGCAATTCGCAATTCGAATTAAAATTCTGTTTCTGTCTGTTGTCCTACTTACTTTTCTTCGCTTTTTCTGTTTCTTGCTTTTTTGTGTCCTGGAAAACAAACATTCCAATGAAATGTAATTGTTAGCACTGAACATACATGTGCACAGCTATTTCAGATTAGCTCGACTAGTGATTTTGCTACAAAGTGAAAATCCTTGACAAAGAAGCAATAATTACATTGCCACCGTGCTCCCTACAGAAACTCGTTTAGAAACAATGCGATCCAGTTACACTTAAATTTAGAGTTGGGCCTGAGCGTCGGTTGCAGGTTTTCCCGCGCTTGGCGCTGGTCGCCTATTTCCTCGCGTTAAGTGCCGGTTGCAAGTCATGGGCCGAAGTGTTGGAACCCCGTGGGGGAGGGAGGGGGGTACTCCCAGAAAAATTGGGTGGGGGTGTGCGGCCTGCTTCCCAAAACCCTTACCCTATTTATGACCAAAATCTGCGATTTTCCCAGCCCTATTTTTGACCTGACCAAAAATTTGATACACTATTTACGACCTTTGCGGCATGTACACGGTTGCTACAAACCTACTTTAAGAAGGGCTTTTGTTGATGGTCTCGTCATCGATAATGAAAAAATTTCTTCTTCTAAAAAATCTTCTTCTAAAAAACATACCCAATACAATACTAGCAATACAATACAACCATATCCTATTTATGACCACAATGACCAAAATCGATACCCCATTTATGACAAAAACGTCCGCAGATACCTAAAACCCTAGATACCCCTTCCCAATCCGTTATAACAAAAATATGGTTGTCTACACTGAAACGATTTCACATGTATCTAAATTCATGGAATTGCCGCAATCTAAAACTATAACACGAATAATTAAAGAATTCATCGCGAAGCTCAGTGAAATTCTCAGAACTATCACTGAAATAAAGATAACAACCTGTTAGGAGAATTAATATCCTGAGCTACTATATAATAGGAATTAACATCCTGATGTTTGATCTCACAGCTGTAAGATACTTGAATTACCAAACATGACATTTGGTTGAGAACATAGAGATTGACACAGAAACCTTTTTCTTTACATAACTGTTTTGCTATTTGTGCAAAATGGTTAGTTGTTACACTATGGTACTAACAAAAACTCTGGTTATTGCTGCAAATGTTACTGTTGATCGTGTCAAGGGACGAGACAGCTACAAAGGAAATGGCCAATGCCGTCAGTTGATAAGCATGTGTTGCAGCCGGGAAACGAGTTGAATTAGTGAT